TTTGCAGTGGCTCATATATTTCTCTAAATAGTTAGTAATTTATGGATTGAATGCAGTGAACATGGAATGTGACATGCACATATTCCCAGTTTCTAGCCGAGAAACACCCACGTTGCTGCGTCTCCTTCTCATCTTTCTACAATGCCACAATCACCCTTGTCCTTCTTGTGCTTGTGGTTGTGAAAACAAAAACAAATGCATCAAGTAAGCAAGCTAAAACTATAATGTCTAATATCCAAGATTAAACATGCATCATTGTTATCCGATTTCTGATATATTGATTGATGGTGTGGCATAGGAGCGATTCGAAACTTCTAAGTGCGGTTGGAGTAAACACCCCACAAAAGATAATGCACCTTTAATACAGTGTACACACCACATGTGCCGGTCCGGGTGCACTGGCATGTGAAGCAAAACTACAATGACTACTGGCGAGTGAAGATCGCAATAACAAATTTCAACTACCGGTTGAACTACACCCAGTGGACTCTTGTTGCTCAGCACCCAAATCTCAACAATGTCACTCAAGTTTTTAGCTTCGATTACAAGCCTCTCATTCCCTACCAATCCGTCAGTAAGTGCCGAAAATTTTGAACTCTTTTTGCAAACAGTTTTAGGTGTAAGAGAAGAGTTGAGAAATATCGATCTCACATTGGCGTAACTTGACATGCAGATGATACAGGAATGTTCTATGGCATGAAGTTCTACAATGACCTACTAATGGAGGCAGGGCCATTTGGAAATGTACAGTCAGAGGTCCTCCTCCAGAAAGACAAGGACACTTTCACCTTCAAGCAAGGATGGGCATTTCCCCGGAAAGTCTACTTCAATGGTGATGAGTGCATGCTGCCCCCACCTGACGCATACCCTTTTCTACCAAATTCTGCCAGAGAAAACGTAGTTGGTTTCTCTACATTGTTGTGTTCTGTTATTTTGTATTTGCTCATAATGTGGTAAGCAATATCCTAGAATTCAATAGGGCTAGAAGTTTTGAAGCCAAGAGACCTCCAAGACAGAGAATTGGGATTTCAGGTACACAAATTGATAAGATACTTTGAAAGAACACAAAGAATTTGATTTATGTAGATACAGTATGGCAAAATGAGTTTGTAAATGGGACATCTAAATCCTACAGAACAATCTCACCAGATTATCAACGATTGATCCACAATGCAATGTTGCAGACATGGTATGTCATCTCACTTTTCGTTACTTTGAAATGGCAGGATACTGAAGAACAAACTATTCCAAGGATTCTAAAGGTTGTAGACTTGCACTAGAAGGAAATGCATTTTCCCAGATGAAAAAGCATAAATTTAGCTGCACAACTGCCATCCTTATTACTATAGAAAGTAGTTTGACTAGATGAAAAAGATTGCTCTAATAGAAAATGCAATTAGACTGTAGAACACAAATAAATAATCCAAATTGTAAATCAGCTATAAGTCATCTCTGGATTGGTTTTTTATTTTCATTACAATTCAGGTACACTATGGACTTGAAAAATCTACAAACAATATAATTTAGTACAATAGTGAACAAGTGATACGACAGTACAAGTAACAAATGGCAGGGAATTCACTCACCGTTGCATAAAGCTGAAACTGATGTGTGCTTTAAATGATATGCACCCAACAAATGAAATCTTCAACTGGGTTCCCGAAGGTGTTGGGAGATAATTTGCACCTATACCACAGAGATTTTAAACGCATGCAACAAAGAATGCCAGAGACAACAACAGAGCCATCATTAGCCTTAGCAAGGAGATCTTTTGCCGAGAACTAGTATTTGGCAAGAATGGATAGGCATCAGGAGGGGGCATGACACAATTATCACCATTGAAATAGATCCTTCGAGGAAAAGCCCAACCCTTCTCAAAAGTGAAAGTCGATGTATCCTTCTGGAAAAGTAGCTCTGACTGAACATTCCCCAAAGGACCAGCTTGCATGAGCAAGTCATTGTAGAACTTAACACCCCATAGCATAGCAGTATCATCTGTTTAACAGTAAAAGGCATGAAAAAAGAAAATTTGTCATATCTATTCTGAAACTCAAATTGCTTAGGCAAGAGAATGCATCTACTTAAACATGAACTAGTAATTACTTATACCCAAACACCATAACTAGATTCAGATAAAATAATAAATACTCGGCAAAAAATATTAAAAATGTTAAAAGAACAGTGCACCCCACCAAATAGATCTTATAGCAACAGAAGACAACTCCTACTTTGTACATTGACCCTTGTGCCTACATGGCAGATAATGCAAGCTCTGGGAATTGAAAGAACATCAACAACAAGAAATGTAACTTACTTATAGCAGCATAAGGAGTTAATGGTTTGTACATAAAGCTGAATAATTGCGTCAGATTGTCAAAGTTGGGGTGTTGGATAACTAAGTTCCACTGCGTGTAGTTCATCCTGTAATTGAAGTTTGTTATTGTGACCTTCACCCGCCAATATTCCTTGTAATTTAGTTTCACATGCCAGTGAATTCGGATTGGGCACATGTGACTTGTGCATTGGACCAGAGGTGCATAGTTATTCTTGCTGGGGCTTGAAACAACCGATGCTAGATATGGTGATTTTGGGCTTTAAAACAAAACACAAAGGAAAAGATAAAATGATTAGAAGAAAATATAAAGAATCATATAGAAAGTATAAAAATAAGAGTATGCAGCAGAATTATGAAAGAACTTACTCTACACAGCTCCCTGGCTGAGTACTGTTGTTCTGGCAACCACAGGTACATGTTGGGCAGGGAACAATCGTGTCATTATAGAAAGATGAGAGAGACACACAGCAAGTGGGAGTTTTCTGAGCTAGGAATTGTGAATATGTGCAAGTAACATTCCATGTCACTGCCATAAGAGAAACATAGGGCCGAAATCAATACTTCAAAAGTTTCATGCCAAATATATTTTCAAATACGAATTGGAAACTTTCAGGTCTGGACACCACAGATAGTGATGAATGAAATATCCTCTTTTTATGTACCGGAAAAAAAAATTCTCCTTAGTTTTAGAGGAATTCATCAGCCATAAAATAAGTGCATCATGGTGCTGATTTGGTCTTTGAACATTAAAGAAGCACATATAGAGATGTAAAGAAAGTCCTTCACAATCTTTTCCATGTGACTTACTCATCGCTTGGGTTACCCTCCTTCCGTCTTGGGCATAAAATTTAGTAGATTTACCAACTTTTGCAGGTCCACAAGTATAGCCAGGCCCTGGAGCTTTCAGGGTGAAGTTCTTAGGCACCCTTACAGTTTTGTTGGTGGTTCCTGCTTGACCAACACTGACCTGGAATGAGCTTGCTGCAGTTGCCGGATCCTGCACCCATGAGTTAATTACTCCTCCCTTGCAGCAATTTGCAATCTGCAGGTTGTAAGGAGTTCCCGGCAATAAGTCCACAACCGTCGGGTCCTTCTTACAGCAATGTGGAATATTCCCCTTGAATCTTGAACAATCACCTTGCTCTGTAGTTTGACCTCCAATCATGGCCCAAATAACCTCTTTCTTTGCCCATGTCCATCCCAGTGACCAGCCTGGTGCTTGAATGTGTCTATATTGCTGGAAGTTGTACATTGTAACAACAGCCTATACAATTCCAATATGAAGCTGATTAGATACATAATACAGGGAAGAAAAGGTTTCTGAAATCTGGTAGGAAGAATTATACCTGCCTTTCAAATATTAAAATTTTAAGTTCCGGAATCCCGAATTAATTTTTTAAATTGTATCGAGCATTCATAAGATGTGCCTCCTGACCTAATGCAAGCATTACTCAGGTAGGAATAAACCCATAAATGCCCTAATTCTACTTTTAAGAGTAGCATTTGTTCTAAAAATTAACGCTCAAGAAATTTGAAAGCAAAATCTTAACTCAAAAGAAGGTGTAAAATTTAGTTGGGCCAGTCAAAAATTTGGTTGAGGTTGAAAAACTTGGAAAGGAGCTCAGAAATTAGGAGCAGAAAGAGTCAGAACTTAATTGAATATCCAGTCAAATTATAACACAGAGACGGGAAGAGAGAGAGAGACAGAGACTTAAACAGCATGAGGTTATATCTCAAAAAAAAAGGTAGGGTTACTAATACTTACAACATAGCCATCAGGAGTCCAATTCATGATATCCCATTTAATTGTGATATTTCCATTTGGGTCAAGTGGATCATATGCTTCTGAAAAATCCAGCAACGCCAAGGTTAAAACAGTTGTTACAATGAAATGTTAACTTGCAATAACAGAAAATTAGAAGAACATACAAAAACATTATAAGAAAGTCTAATAGCTCATCAAAAATGACATAAATAAAGTGAAGAAATCACGATAACCACAACTCTAGTGAATTTGTTTCAGCCGAAATTAAAGGTGTGCTCAGCCTAAAACACTCAGGCTACAAGTGTCGGATATCAAACGAAGATATCAGATTCACTTCCTTTCTAGGAAAATGAACTGCCATTGTTGAAATAGAGGTAGACACTCAGTTATCAAAATAATCAGTGTTAACACTTCCGATTATTTCATTTCAAGACTTTTCCAAGTTTACAATTACTGCCGCATCCCTAACATAAAAAATTAGGATCAATCGTCAAGCATTCAGAAAGAAAAAACAGAGATAAATAACCAATATGGCACATGTTGCAAAAAAAATCATTTAATTCTCAACCAAACCCTTCCCATAAAATAATCATACTAAGAACCTGATAACAACCGATAGAGTAGGGCAGCCAGTATCTATACCTGGGAATGATGAACAGGACTAGGCATCTCATCCTTATTCAGTATCATTCTTACGGTCCTACCTTTATTGCTAAGAACACCTGATAGTATGGTAATCTCATATTCTATCTGGCATACATTACTAATAATTAGAAAAAAAATCATGCTCTAACCGAACACGTGAATGACACAACATTTGAAAGTGCATTACTATTTCAGGTAATAGCATTTTATTTGTGGTCCCTCATTCCCGCCATCCAAACTAGGCCAGCTTCACCCAAAGGACAAGAAAGGTATAGCATCAGGTTTCAAATCATTCCTTATTTTCAAAAGCAAAATAAATTCCCCTGCAAAATATTGGTTTGCAACCAAGAGAAAGAAATGGAATTAAAAAGAAAATAATGTAACTCGTTAACCTTAATTAAACTGATTAATTAAATTCTGGGGGATACTCTAGATCCAATCTGGAGGTTATCTTCCCTTTTTCCTCAGAATGAAAAGCCAGAAGAACTAAACTTTCTCTTTGCAATCGAATTTCTTAATGTCTCTATTTTTGCTAAAACACACTTCAAAATTTGAAGCTAAAATAAAAGCTAAATCTCAGAACCTTCTCCAACACCTTAACTTGCCCATCAGAAAAACATAAATCTCTCAACTTTTAGATGATATAAGTGAATCCATGGCCTCATTCTCCATTCCATACACAAACTTTTGAAATCACACAAATGCCTCTCAATCATCAGTCAATTGGGCACCCAAAAAAGGCCAGTGTGTTATTAAATGAGATCAAATCTATTCAAGAACTTAAAAACATATCAAGAAACCACCGAAACCCAAAAATCTACAAAGATTCGATGAATTAAAAGAACATTTGTGCAAACCTGTGGAAGTAAAGTTGCTCCAAGAAAGCAAGATCACTAGTACAATGGCAATAGTGGTGTACTTAGATACAGATCCGAATCCAAAATCCATTTCTTGTTGTAATGATTGTGGCGATTTCTAGATCAGTTGGTGTTCAAGATCTACAACCGCAGTGATGAAACAGAGAAAGACTAAAGAACGCGGTGCTGGTGAGTGCCTGAGTGGTGGCTTCTCTCACATGGCAAGATTGTTTTAAGAGTTAAGCAGACTTTTTGAAGTCGTTTACACCTCTGTTAAATGACTGTCGTCCACGAAAGTGACAGACAGCTACTCGCTATACGAACTGTATTTTCTTTTCTTTTTTCCCTTTTTGTTGGTTTTTGGTAAATGGTAATCCAGAAATTCCTGATCTGTCCCGGCATTTATGCCCTTTACCCTCACGAGTCCCGACTAGAATCGAAGGTAAAGACCAGAGGGCTTGGTAAAAAAGTATGAGAGAGTTTGGGAAAAGGGGTATAAAGAAAATACTAGTTTAAAGTTGTCCCAAATCCCTTGTTTATTTGGAAAATTAAGTATTAGGTTTTTAAACTCGGCTAGTAATTAGCCAAAAAATTATCTTCATGATTATAGGTTTCGTCAAATCTGGGAGGAAGGTGAGTTTGAGAATTGGATTGATTAAAAGTAAAATAATCATTTATAAAATAAATAGTTGTTAATAATTATGATATATCCATAATTTTATATGTGTGTGTTGCATACCAAATATAAGTATGGACTGAATTAAATATTGAATCCCATTTAGGAAGGATTTGAAAAGATTCGAAAAAACTAATTCAAACTCCTGCTCAAAATTTATTCAAACAAGAGGCAAGTGCATGAATTGGTCCGTGTAAATGAACGCGTTCCCTTTCTAGTTTTGCCAATAGTGTTTAGTGGGTAAATTGAGTAATGCTATTAAAATTTAAAAAATTGATTTAAATGTGATTTTATTGTAATCATTAAATTAATACCAAAATTTTATATTTAATATGATTTACAGTCAAAAAATATATCAATAAATTAAATTTCAATAATATTGGTCAGGTAAAATTACCTTACTTAATCTTTGGAAATTATAATTTTTAAAATCGACTACAATATTTGAAGATAAAATCATGCACATCACGATTTGTATTCAAATTTAATGTTGGACGTATTTTTCTGTTGCTAATGCCTTTATTTAAACATCATATAAACATTATGACATGATGATTATCTTTGAATGGTTGCCTTGCCGACAGTAGAGATTGAAACAAAACAAAACAAATAGTCACTGATACAACAGCTAATGGCTTCACGATGTGGGCCCTTTTTGACCATGTGATGTATATTATGCATTTGTTTTGTCGGTGCTGAGAAACACCAGGGAGAGAAAGGGACCATTATTTTTGTGGGGTCTTGGTTTTTTCTTCTATTTTTTTTCCACTAAAAGTTAGGTATGTATGCATTTCAAGTTGAACAATTAATTATCACCGTGATTTGAACTGAACTAAAGCATATCTCTATTGGAAAAAATGACTAACCCTTGTTGCTATTGAATATTGAACTAATTAAAAACTTGCCACATACTTTTAAGTAGAAAAATTGTCAATTGCCCAAATTTTAAGATACAAACAGTGAGTCAGTGAGGTTGAGAGGACAACAACTTGATTCCCAGTGGTTTGTGTTTGTCCAGTTTGAATGTTATTTGCTGTCAGAAGCCTAAAGAGTCTCAGAAAACAAGTGCTCATAGTGATGGAGTGAACAGTAAAACTAAAAACCATGGGATGGTTTAAAACTAAAATCAGAACAATTTAAATTAAAAAAAAAAAAATTTGATTGAATGACTTTAGAACATGCAATCTTGTTTTAATCTAATTTGATATGTAGCAAAGACAATAATCATGATATAGGCTAAATGTCTTATGCCGTGGATTAGCATTTGAATCATTGACAATATTAATACTAAATATATCATTTATAATAATATTGAGAAAGGCGAGGGTAAACTTATACCTATAATTTCAACCAAAGGTTAGTTGAAGGGTTTTTTTTTTTGAGGTGGTAAAGCTAGTTGAAGTATTTACTTGGAGATAAATTCAAGGGGCATCCCATGTAGCGTTGTTTATTTATTTTGACGAGGAATTGGGCGGGGGGGGGGGGGGGGGAGGTTATATTAGAACAACCAAATCATCTAAGGACCAATTTGAGATAATTGAAGTTCAAGGGCATTTGAAAACTAATGGCATAGTTTAAGGGGTACTTATAACATTTATCCTTATTTTTTGAGCAATGATGTGTTTACAAAAAAAAATAAAAGTGGACCATATATGGATTAGTAGGTCTAATTATCAATTCAACCGCTGCAGTTGATTTAATACAAATTTGGGTACACAAACTTAGTGCATAAATAATTATCCTTATTTGTTAGAGAGAATTATACTCAGATTTTTTAAAATTTGTTATTTAATCACTCAGATTCCTTGACATTTAAAATAATACATACAGACCCCTTAAAGTTTGTTCGTTATTATATTTGTTAGTAAATTATACATAGACCCCCTGAAATTTATAGGCATGTAATACTTAAATTACTCAAGTTTAATATGTTATATTTAAACCAAAAATACTCCAATCAAAGATAGAATATCAAATATTTTGAATTTTACAACCAAAATTCATATTTTATTTTGACATTTATTGAAATAAAATCAAAAAGAAAATTTTAAATTTTTCTTTAAAAATTATAATTAGTATACAATTATATTATCTATTGAAATTTAATTTGATCATTTAAATGATCAAATTAAACTACAAAATTACCTTAATTAAAGGTAGAAGATATTGTGTTCATTACAGTTCGACTACTTGTTTGATTTTTGTTGTATTATTCCAATAGATAGTATAATTGTATACTAATTATAAATTTTTTTAAAAAATATTTTTTTTTTATTTTATTTCATTAAATTACATAACTGAACATAAATTTTGGCTATAAAATTTATATTTTATTATGAATAACTTAGACCCCTTGTTTGATTATTTAATTTTATTCCAATAAATAGTATAATTGTATACTAATTATAACTTTTTAAGAAAAAAATAGATTTTTATTTTTGATTTTATTTCATTAAATGACATTACTAAACATAAATTTTTGCTATAAAATTTATATTTTATTATGAATGACTTAGACCCCTTGTTTGATTATTTAAGTTTTATTCTAATAGATAGTATAATTATATACTAATTATAATTTTTTAAGAAAAAAATAAAATTTTATTTTTGATTTTATTTCAATAAATGACATAATAGAACATTAATTTTGGTTAAAAAATTTATATTCTATTATGAATGACTTATATCCCTTGTTTAATTTTTTATTTTTATTTCAATAGATAGTATAATTATATACTAATTATAACTTTTTAATAAAAAAGTAAATTTTTATTTTTGATTTTATTTCAATAAATGACATAATACAATATGAATTTTAGTTACAAAATTTATTTTCTATTATGAATGACTTACACCCCTTATTTAATTTTTATTTTTATTTTAATAGATAATATAATTGTATATTAATTATTTTTTTTAAGAAAAAATAGATATTTATTTTTGATTTTATATTTCAATAAAGAATACAATAGAACATGAATTTTAATTAAAATTTAAAATACTTAATATTTTATCTTTCAAATTTTAAAGAGTGTGAATGTAATTTGCTATCCCATAACTCAACGGCAGGTATGTATGGGTTGTGTATGTATAGTATGTATAAATTTGAATAACCAATGTGTAATATTTCAAATGTAGCGGTCGCCAGAGGTCTGTGTAATTATTTCTATTCCCTCTGTTTTTAAATATCTGTCGTTTCACACAATTTTTTTTGTTATATAATATCTGTCATCTAATAAAATTAAAACATAATTAATATTTTTTCTTTCAAATTTATTCTTAACTTTTCAATGTATTAGATTAGGTAGACGTTAAGTATCTTTCATATTCCTTTCTTTTTTAATATGTATTGAATAAGGGTATTTTAGTCTTGCGTAGTTATTTTTTACTCATATTAGAATTATTTAATAATTTTTTTAATTCCTGTGTAAAAATTTTAAATGATAAATATTTAGGAACAGAAGTATTTTTTATCATTTCGTTACGTAAGCACCAACTAACTTGTATGGAACCTAACGGGAAACCTCGAAGAGAAAGCATTAAATTAGGAAATTTCGGAAGAAAAAAAAAAAAGAAAGAATGAGAAGCATTTCAAATTCTACGGAAGCGGAAAACCGTTTGATTGATTTGCTGGCTTCTGGAAAGAAATGGTTTTCATCGTTTCTGTCTCGTCAGGGTTTGTGAGAATTTTTGTTTATTAGGGTTTCTTTTTCCTGGATTGCAATTGAGACCAATGGAATCTGTTCCTTCTCAAAATGTATCGTTAGGCCAAACAGAGATTAACTGGGATAAGTAAGCTTTCTTGATTTACATTTTCTTCATCTTCTAAGTTTATATCATCTGTTTACTCTTCTCTTCTGTTTTTTTGGCTCATTTCTGTTTCAATAAATTATATCTGTTGATATATCGATGAATTTCGTCTGTTTCTAATACGTGATGTAATGCGCAATTTTTTTTTTTAATAATAATAATGATCTGGACTATGGCAGCGTTAGGTTTCATTTTTGTGACTTTTATTCGAACCTGTATCACTCAGATGCTTAAATTTTTAATTCCATATATTACGAAATCAATTTGATACCTTCACCGGTAATGTGGTTCTCTTGTTTTTTTTTTTTTCCTATCAATTATTACACAGCTTTACGGTTTGAGGTTTTATATGCAATGCTAATTATATATAAGATTTGGCTGCAACACAGCGATAAATTAAAAGCTAATTACACAGGATAGGAAATTGCTCAAACAGCTGGGTTTTGCGTCACTTGTAAATAGTTACTCTGTATGGCTATGTGCCTTTTGGTATCAAAGTGGTTGGTTCTTGTTGGGAGCCCATGAATAGTGTACTGACTGCAAAAGTAAGTTCGGGCATAGTACGAGAAGTTGCTATGCACTCGGTGCCCTAATACATGAATATTAGTTTCATGACGCCCCATGATCCTATGATGCAGTATAGAAATGGAGAATTTACAAAAAAGTGTATATGATTGCTGAACAATGTGAGACCTGTGGAGGTAGTTAGCGAGCTGCTATGTGCCTGGAAGATGAAGCAATAAGATCATCAGGTAGACATAAGAATGACAACATTTTGATGATAGATCCAAGGTTGGAGATGGGCAACAGATGGCTTGATTGCTAGTAGCAAGATCTGGGGCAACCACAAGGATGGACCATGGACCGGAAAGGAAGTGTATAATACATCATCTGTACTTTGTTAAGCATAGGTATCTATACTAGATGAGAAGATGCACATAGTATGAGCAATCTAAACCACATGAAAACATTCGTGTATGACTATATTTTTTAGTATTAAAATATATCTGGATCAGGCCTCTGATTTAGTTGATGGGAGGAATGGAAGTTGGTTTGTCCTTTGTTGTCTTAGTAACATCTTCGGTGACTACTAAGATTTTGGCAAGAAGAGGAGGAGATACAATTCAATGGAAAAGGAGAAGATAGATATGATTATGAAATCCACTTAAAGCGGGTTTTGAATTGATCATTTCAACTAAATATAGTCATTCCACTAGAGATTTCCCCTCCCACTAATGGAGAGAGAGAAGTGGACGGTCCACTCTTAGTCGCACATTCGGGAGAGATCCAGAGCAAAGGAAGCATTTCGAGGACAACAAAAAACTTCTAAGCTATGGTTCACTTGAATGGAAATTCCATCAATTTAGGAAAAATGGTACCTACATGGAATCCTTGCATGATGCCTCACCAATTTATAATTTTGTGGTCACGCATACTATGTTGTCGTTGTTGCCTTTTTTTCAGACTTTTCTGCTCTTTTTAGTTTCTCAAGTTCTTTTGTGATTGTCTTATCTATTTGGTTTTATTCACGTTGTCCAACCTATCCTGCAGGCTTGATAAAACTAAGTTCTATGTAGTAGGAGCTGGAATATTTACAGGGGTTACGGTTGCACTTTACCCTATTTCTCTTGTGAAGACCAGGCTGCAGGTTGCTTCAAAGGATGCTGTGGAGAGGACTGCATTTTCAGTTATCAGAGGCATACTGAGAACAGAGGGGATTCCTGGTTTATACAGAGGTTTCGGCACAGTCATTGCAGGAGCCATTCCTGCCAGAATTATATTTCTTACTGCATTAGAGACAACAAAAGTGGCTGCTTTTAGGATGGTTGAACCATACACATTATCAGAACCTACAAAGGCAGCCATTGCAAATGGAATTGGTGGCATGATAGCATCACTTTTTTCTCAGGCTGTATTTGTTCCGATTGATGTGGTATGTTGTCCATGTTTCTATATCCATGTTTTCTTGTCAGTTCAAATTGTATAAAAAGTTATTTTAATTGGCTAATCTTCTGATGGAGGGAGGGAGAATGTTCCAATCGTTGAGTGTTGCTTCATGCACATATCCATTTGCAAATTAGAACTTTCTGCAAAGCAGATATTAGAGCATTCAAGTTCCATATTGAGTTGTGGTTGAAGTCCAAGTAAGCTATGAATGAAATGATTTACAAATTCAATACCATTTTTTAAAGCATTTTAATCGCTCTTCTCAATATCGTATCACTGAGCATGTTCTTGATTTGGCATGTTTTACTTTGCTGAGGAGGCTAATCTCCACAATATTTGATTTAAACAGGTAAGCCAAAGGTTGATGGTGCAAGGATACTCGGGCCATGCACAATATAATGGGGGCCTGGATGTTGCTCGTAAGATTCTGAAGTCAGATGGCATTCGAGGACTGTATAGAGGCTTTGGTCTATCTGTTGTGACTTATTCCCCATCTAGTGCTGTATGGTGGGCAAGCTACGGTTCTAGCCAACGCTTCATCTGGGAGTGAGCCTTGCTGGTTTAGTTTCTATTAGTGTTAAATGCGTTATGGGAGCTTTTATGTATGGATCAGTGGTATATTTTAAACTTCAGTGCGTGCTGGCCTAACTAAAAAGTCTTAATTAATAAACACAAGTTCCTGATGTTGGGTTGCATTATATTTTTCTTCAAAAAATGGTGGTTTTTCATTTGTATGATAAATTTTATGCTCTCTTAATAATCTATTCACCATTTAGTATGTCATTGGGCAGGCTCTTAGGTCATGGCACCAGGCGTGATGAACCTACTCCAAGCCAGTGGTCGATAGTTTTGGTTCAAGCTGCTGGAGGGATTTTTGCAGGTGCTACTGCATCCTGCATTACAACGCCATTGGACACTATTAAAACTCGATTGCAGGTACACCTATTTGGCATCAAATATTATTGTCTGGTAGTTTTCAGTGCTTTTCGTTGCAGTTGGGAATTACAATGCTAGGACGACGAACTCCTTAGTCTCATGAACTTTTTTCGTTTTCTTCAGCTCTGAGTGTAGTTTTGAATCTAACTAAGCTTAGAACTATTACCATATAGAATTAGTCTAAACAATAGTGGGTTTAAATTTTTACAAACGACCTTACTTTTCCACGTGCTGTGATCATCTATTGCTTTCGTCTTCTCAAGAATGTAAATTGTCTTATTCCTCTGCTGATTTGTGGTCGATGGATGTCTCTATAATCAGCACACTTTACCTTGAGTAGTACTTGGAATAGCTCGTAGGTTTCCATAATATTATGGTATCCCTATAATTTGCTTCCTCTCATACTTCTTGTTTCTTTAAATAATGGCAGCTTTAAAATCGAAGTAGTACTGTAGAATCCCTAGGTGGTGCTATGTTATTTGAAAAGCTCAAGGGCTGGTATAGTAAAGGCAGCATCTCGCTAGTGCACATCTTTTTCATGATGAAACAAGTAAATGTACTTCAAAGTTGTGTAAATAGTACATCATGCAAGTTTTCAAACGTGACATTCATAGACGTAATGTTATAGTTTGGTTTGCAGCTCTACATGGCACCACGTGGCTTCTGATGTCTGCTTGTTGTCTAATTAGTTGTTTCTGCATCATAGGTGATGGGACACGAAAAGAGACCCACTGCAAGACAAGTAGTTAAAGGATTGATCAAAGATGATGGTTGGACAGGATTATATAGAGGACTGGGTCCACGGTTTTTCAGCATGTCAGCATGGGGAACATCAATGATACTAGCCTACGAATATCTAAGTTGGGACACTTCCTTCTTTTTATAAAATTTGTCTATCATTTATTATTATCATCATCTTTCTTAAGAGGAAGTATAATGGGTTACTAGACAAAAGCTTTGGTCCTGTGGTAGCTTCTGAAAGGTGGATAGGGAGCCACTAATGGTTTCTTGCATCTTTTCTTGGCAAAGTAGCTCATGGGCTAATATTTACCTGGCCCTAGAGGAGAATCTAAAGATTTAGTGTTGAAAACCTTCTTGGCGCCGCATAGGCTGTCAGTCCAATTATGTGTCCTTTTCTGCATCCTCATTCCTTCCTCATGGAAATTTTAGTCAAATTTCCAACAGTTATAACAACAGTGACAAAATATGGTAATACCATATTGAACCTTAGAAGTTTTGCGGCCCTAGTTTCTTGCAGTCTCTGATATGCATATAAGCGACAAAATTCTTGACCCCCAACCCCCAACTCCAATAAAAGGCACATAATTATGCAAAGGGTGAACAGAATTTGTGATGTTCTCATTTGGTGAATTCATTTTGTTCTTCTATTAAAACTTCAATGTCATGTTTGTCTTTCAATACTGTGAATTATAATACCATTGGAATGTAGTTAATTTTGTGGCTTTATACATATATTTAATTATGCCTGTTAAGTGGAGCATGTGGTTATTTGGGGGCCTATGAACCTATTATTTTTGTTTTGATCTGCTGTCCTGCAAAGGTTAGAGGAGAGTATTAACTATGTGCAGTACGGTTTAAATCTTTATTGTTATCTTGCGATCTCTAATCAATTGATAGAAATGGGAGCTTATGTTGGCAGAGGGCCATATGAGTTAACCCTGGTGTTTGGTTATGGAACCTATGGATAAGTGGACCCTGTAATTTCATTATTATTAGAAAGGAATGTTGTTTCTATGGAACTTCTGAATGATGAGAAACGTTTTTTTCTCTTTTCCCATGCTTTTGCATTTTGTCCAACGTATCTGACATGGATAGCATGCTACTGTTTGTTCTGGTTTAAATTTGATATTCTGATGCTTATACATTTCTGTAGCTGGAACGGCAGTAACCTTGATTATCTGAGATGACATTACTCTATACTCAATAAGATCGAAGAATCCTTTGTCATGCTTATTTTCTACCCCATACAGTAACCTATGTTAATTTTGAAACAAGTTTCTCTAGTTGATTATGAAGCTATTGCCCAACCTAATCATGTTTCACTGTACTGGTCTTTTATCCTTTATACAGAGCGCGTGTGTGCAAAGGATGAATAGGTTCATTCCCAGTGACCTGCAACCATTGCTTCTTGTAAGGGACAGCAGAGATTTTAATTCTAGCTGCCTGAATTTAGACACATGATCGAAGATGACCGTGTTAAGATACTGGAATGCTTACTTTTCACTGCTAATACAGAAACAGGGCTCTAGCATTGTAGCATTTGTTATTCACTGGGGAGCAAACGCACTTGCTATTATAGCTGGATCCGTCGATCGTTATTTATTTTACTTGATGTAATTGAATCAGATTAATTGAAATCAAAGAATTTTGTTTCATGGGTTAGTGCCTGTAGTTTGTCTTCCCATTGTGTTTCTTTTTAGCATTCATTTGGAAAGGGAAAAAAGAAGTTTCAGTCATTAACTTTACAGAGTACGTTTTTTGACATCTTAGGAAGCCTAACCTCTAATTGGCTTTTCCAAAACAGCAGAGAAAAAGAGCTCATCATCAAGTTTATCTGTCTTTGGCACCACCCTCCACAGCAACTCTCTGTAGCCTAGTCTGGTGAATTCATCTAAATACAGCCTCATATCTTCCTTCTTACAGAAGAACCGGTGCACCCAAAGGAGTCCCTTTGGCCAAAGGACACGATCCCAATCAAACAGGACAAACTGGAGGAGTTCCAAGCTGATCCACCCATCCAAGAAGAGAGTAGAATGAACAATAATATCAAGTGCATTGTCAAAGAAAGGCAATCTTGAGCCGACTGAAACGTGAAGGGGAAGGAGGCCTCTTAGTGCAATCACCTCACTGAAAGGGGCACCTAAGTTCAGTGTAGCCGAAGCAATGGTAATATTTTTCTCTCTCATGATTGCAGCAAAAGTGCCGGTTGTTGGGGTGAAATCGAGACCTATTCGTATCTCTCCTGGCCTTAACCTTAGCACCTCATCGATGGTGAATTCAGCCGAGGCAGATTCATTTCTGGGATTTTCCTATCCCCGATTAGAAAGTTCAAAACAATCAGCACATTTGTAGAAGCCTCTTCTATCAATTGTCTTGTTGGAAACAAGACAATTATAGTTCTTGCACTTATAATTGTTCCATAAAATGTTAGCATCACTAGGTTGAGTCCAAAGGGAGGAGTTCAGATTAGCTGGCGTAGTGTAATGAGGAGGCGCCATTGAGAAGCACCTTCTTCTTGGTAATGGGTCACATCCACCAAGTATGAGCTTCTGAGCTAAGTCCCAATCATTTGGGCACATACCATCGATCTTGTAAGTCATGAAGCGATCTACAATGAAGGCCATAGGGGCGCAACCCTGTCCTATGGATGGATTGACTGCTTCCAGCCCAAGAAAATTCTTTTTCCCGCGAAATCTATTGGATTTGGGTGAAATGTAATTAATAAGCTCTGCAGAATTGAAGGCCTTTCCATGTAATGAACCTTCTTCAGCTTCACTTTGCTCAGGCCCACTGAGATCTTCATCTACTCTGCTCATTTCATTACCACCATCAGGAGCATTGCTTAAGAAACCTGACAAGCAATCAGCAAGCTTGTCTAAGGATATAGCAATGCTGAGGACCTGATCTGAAAATTTTGTTAAAGATTTTGATTCCGAACTTTCAATATGTAGATGATCCAACAGAGCTCCCAATTGGGACTGCAGATGAGAAATCTGGTTGTGGATTGAATGGGGTAAAACAATCTGGACATGGGAGTTATTGGCAGTGGAGGAAAAGAAGAACCCAGAGTAAGTGATATGGGAATTGTAGATGATCAATGTGATGAGGGTAGGGAAAAGAAGAAAACATAACATCATGTGAAGAGCCCTCCTGGAAGGCATTTTTGATTGCTTGGAGGTGCTCTGTTCCTGCATTTCTAAGATGGGTTTTATGCTTTTCAGTGCCTTGAACCCTCTAAGTGTATAGAATGAAATCAGCCTTTGACCTTGAAATTGGTTTTAGCTTGTTCTGTTTTTACATTGTTTATGCATGATTTGATCTTCCCTAGATGCCTGATTTCATTCTATACACTTTTTTTCAACATGTGGATTTGTGAAACTTCAGATGAAAGCTTCTCGAGTTTAGCAGCTTCAGTAATTCTTTGTGCCTTTCGTAACCACTTGAGCTAATCCCAGATACAGAATTCAGTTCTTTTGTCGAAACAGGGAAAAAAAATGACAATGGTTGTTAACACAACACGGAAACAATCTCTCTATTTACGGAATAAAACTGTATACATTTAAGGCTACCAAAGACAAATTTGTTCAATTTGTAGTTTCTCTCTGAATTCAACACTAGGGTTTTCTGTATGAACCCAAAAGTAGAAATTATACTGAACCTAAGGTTAGATTCATACTAAAGCTGATTTTAAAAAAGAAGAAGAAGAAGAAGAAGAAGGTAGAGACCAGTAAATTTCTACATGGAATGAAGCAAGAAACATAGACATACACTTGATATTCATGACATTTCATTACATTATTTTTACATACACCCAGAGCTAGAATCATATAAAGGTTGCAGAGAAAAGGAGAAAAAAAAAGGATGAAAAAGAAACCACATAGAATAATGATAGCTTCATGGGAGAAATTTTATCCCAGTAGTCGTAGGATCATGGTGGAGGACCACGTTTGCATCGATTCTCATAGGTACAGGGTCTGTTGCGATCGTTGATCTGACGAGGTATGCAATCGCCGTACTGAGCTGTATCACATACAGCTGATCCTTTTTGGAGAGAGTTGCGTGCTCTAAGTTGATTGTTGGATTGAAGAATCCTTCTGCTCACTTCAGATTCCATTGGGAACTCTTGGTCGTCTTCTTCAATGCAGTCTGCGATGGTTCCATTGCACCACCAAGAGCTTCTTTTCTTCATCTCTGCACAATCAGCTCTTTCAATATTTGTGTTGAGCACAATTAGTACAACAGCTATGGAGATGAAAAGGCATACCCTCTTGGGTTCCATTCTCATCTCTCACCCTTATTTTTTTTTTTTTGAGTTTTGCTAAATTTATGTGCTTGGCAGGTCACTATGAACTTGATAAAGAGTACAGAGCTCAAGTATGGTTGAGAAATGAAAGGCCATTATTGTGTACCAAGTGACTTTTGGGGTCATCAGAGACGGACCACAAGGGAGGCCTAAGGGGACCATCATCCGCCACCCGCCACCCACCACCCACCACTTTATTGTGATTCTAAGATTTTCTTGTTAAATTAAGAAGTAATATAATACTACTTCCTAATTACAAAGATTTACAACTCTCAGGTATAAGTATTGATAACAAAATTTTTGTCTTTCCTAATATGTCTAAATTCTAAATAAAATAAAATAAAATAAAAAGTCCTACTTTATTTGCAAAACAAATACTAAAGACGTTTAAAGGCTTAAACCATTGCAAGCAACAAAGAATATTTGTAAACGTGAAAACACGCTAAAAGGTAAAATCTTTGACTTGCATTTATTTTTTTTGGCAAAATTACAAGCAAAGAGAACTTAATTAAGTTATTTTTGTAACTCGATTAACGAGTTAGTATTCTATGTTTTTTTTATTATTGATTAATATTTTTTATTTTTACCAGTCTGTTATATGTGGAAAAAGTGTATTACCTATTTCTTTGTGCTTTATATACTCAAACATAACCTATGATAATTTTTTGTTTAATTGTTTATCTTAGAAAAATTCAATCTAGGATAATATGAATTTTAAATGTGAAATTAATATAAGTTTGTCATTAAGTAAGAACATAAAATTTAAGGCATCCTTATTTTTGATGTGGAATAACGTGAAATATGTTTCATGTGTTTTTTCTATTTCTTAGAATTGTATAACTTAATTAAATTATTAAAGTGATTTAGATGGGAAAGCCTTCTACAATTGCTGCATTTTTCAAGAGAAAAAATATCATGAACTTAGAAATTAATGAATCACTGCCTTCCTTTAATGTTGAGATTTTGAATGTCGTAAAACACCCCGGACAATCTCCGAGAATCGAAATTAATAAATTTGATATCGGTTTTTCGGAGCATGATCCAGGATTACTTCCACAAATATGGGAATATCATGCTGATCAACGTGATGAGATTCGACTAGCTTACATCAATTCTGGTCCTTATCAGTGCATATTATCAAATTATTCAAAATCTGGATCAACAACTCATATGCGTCATTTTCAGCCTGCATGGTTTAATTTACATCCACCATAGTTAGAATATTATCAAGAAGAGACATAACCAATTGGCACATTACAATGAGCAAGGGACTGGAATATTAAATATTTGGATGAGCACAAAGGCCCGTGAATAGCTATCACCTCTAATAAGGTGTGAAAATAAATCCCACAGTTTATATACAAAAATAAATTTTGATACATACATAAATACAATAAATTGTACTCAATCCCTCCCACATAATCATGCAAACAAAATGATCTTATGATCACAATAATGAAAAAACATATATAACCTAAAACACTCATTCATTTTCACAAATAATTTTATAAATGAAAAGACATTTATAACTCAAAACACTCACACACACACACACACACATTTAATCCCAAATATATTTGTCAAATCATTTTTGTTACCACTAGTCTGGTAGCTGACCCAGTCTATTGTTACCACTAACCTACTAACTAGCTCAGCCTCTTGTCATCACTACCCTGATGACTAGCCTCTTGTTATTACTTAAACCTGGTAACGCCAGTCCCTGTCTCATAAACATGATTTTAACACACACCAAAACTATAGTTTTAGTTTCAACGCGCACAAAATTTCTCTTTCATCACCAAAGTAATGATATAAAATCATCCCACAAGTTTTTCAAAATTCACTTGTATAACAATTCATAATTTTAAAATATTTAATTGTAACCCTAAACATCAACATATATATTATATATATGAAAAATTCACACGTAGACACCCACTAATTTAATATAAAAAATTCTCCAAAAAGAAGTAATAAACTACTCACCTTGATTCTCAAACTTCAATTCAAAGCCTTTTTTCTTAACCTCAATGTAATCATTACCTAATCCAAAATAACATATAACGATCAATCTCTATTTCTAATTTTATTATTTTACGATTATATATTTAATTTTTATACTTTCTACTCATTGATATATACTTTATATTTCCTTTACATGGAGATAATATTTTTAATGTGAGCTAATAGGGTATAGAAGTAATCTGAGCAGTTTATAAAAGTTTTTAAAATTTTGGAGTCACATCATAATTTTTAAAATTTTTGAGGTCAAAGTATAATTTTCTTGAAAAAAATCAATTTTTTGTTTTCGGGGCTACCATAAATTTTCCAAAATTCTACTATTTCAACTTACCAAGTAAAAATATGGTTAAAAATAAGTTTAAAAAATATAGGGGTCAAAATAAATTCTTTGAAATCAAAGGGACAAATGATATAATTCCTGAACTTGTCCTCCTCATCCGATCAACTCTTCCACGTTGTACAACTTAAAAGAAAAGTCTAATCCCTTTTTTTTTTCCAAAGAGTCTTCTTGACACACACATTCACCATTATATTGACATATAATTGGATACATATAATATAATCTTCTAATTAATACACCCTGCCTCTTCCTCAATCACCAACTTAAACCTTTCATAAGTAATATCTCAACTACTTTAAACGCTTTGCAGTCAAATCCAATAAGTGCTGAAGAGTTAGAGACTGGAAAAGGACTTAACCAATTGGCACATTACAATGAGCAAGGGATACTCATTGGAGTTCTCAACTGACATCTATTTCTAGCTTGATGAAGATGTTCAATGCCACATGTGCAGTGCTGCAAAATATCATTAATCAAGGAAACACCCTTTCTCAGCGTGGAGATGCAAACTCTGCTTTTGAAATATTAACTTCTTTCGAATTTGTTTTTATTTTGCATCTTGTGAAGGAAGTTATGGAGATTATTGACATACTTTGTCAGGTTTTACAATGAAAATCTCATGATATTTTAAATGCCATGCATCTTGTCGCAAGCACAAGAACTTTGGTTCAAAAATTGAGAGATGTAGGATGGGTTTCTTTGATTATAAAGGTAATAACATTTTGCGAAGACACGATATAAATGTTGTAGATATGAATGCTTGTTATGTTGCGAGACGAGGTCGAACTAGAAAACAACATGGTGAGCTTACTATTCAACATCACAATCGGGTTGATATTTTTAACGCTACAATAGATATTCAGTTGCAAGAGCTAAACAACAAATTCAAGCATTCAATTGAGCTACTTGTTAGGAAATTCACACAAAATTCTTAAACCTGTGAGAAACAACAATAGAGAAAACACACGTCAAAGAAAAATAATCACACGCACAAGACAATATTTACGTAGTTCGACAACTTGCCTACGTCTACGAAACTGAAAGGATTTCACTATTATCAAAAAGGGACATAGAGCGGCCGTATAGTGTTCCGGATCAATATGAAACTAGACTCCACAAAAGCCCAACACTACTTACTCTTAGCTTGGAATTAGATCCTTGAGATAGATATAGGCCCTTTAAAATTGATGACATTTGTAAGTAGGTAGATAAGTTTTACCCCAGAGACTTCACGGAGGAGGAGAGAGTTATTTTGAGTATACAACTTCAGTTTTTCGAGCTGGATATACTTATGCATACAGCTCTTTTAAAGTTGAAGAATATTTTTGACTTATCTCAATGTTTGGTTAAGACTAGAAAATCAACCATTTATCCACTTTTTGATAAATTGGTTAGACTTGTGCTTACACTGTCAATTTCTACTGTAATTACGGAATGTGTTTTCTCGGTTATAAATATTGTTAAAACTAAACTTTGCAACAAGATGGAAGATGATTTTCTCACATACTCTTTGATTGCTAAAAAATTTAGCACAAATTCAATCATAGATGAATTCTACGATGGAAAAGATAGTCGTGTTCTACTTTAATAGACAACTCGGACCTCAAGGATATGTAATAAAAAATTATTCCTTTGGTTCATTTTCAATTTTGTGATTGTCTTTATTTATATTGAAAATTCATTATTTTGTTTGATTAACTTTTGCACATTTTGAATTTGTTAAGAGAGTTTGACCCTCTCCCTAATAATAAAATCCTGATCTCGCCCGTGGGGATCATCACCTACAACACTTGTTCGCTAGCTTGCCCCAACTCGGTCGGCCACTCGCCGGCTGGTCTGCTATTCTTAACCAGATGCATCATAGTCGAAACCATTTTTCGACTACCTACATTTTACTTTCTCTAAACCCTACAGAGGTGGGCTGGCTGCCCAATTAACCCTAGACCAATAAATTCATGCATGGAATGAAGCAAGGAATAGAGATACTTATATAATATATATTCATGACATTCCATTACATTATTTTTACTAACGTACAGTGCCACAATCATACCAACGTTGCAGATAACAAAACAAAAAAAGGATGAAAAACAGACCACATAGCAAGATCATTATTTAGTCTGAGAGATTTAATCACAGCACATATCTCTCTCCTTCGTTATGATCATGGTGGGGGATTGTGTCTAGAATCTACATCGATTCGCGGGCGTACAAGTTCCCTTTTGTCCGTTTATCTCCTTTATGCAATTGCCGTATAGCTCTGCATTACATACAGCTGATCCTGGCATGAGAGACAAAGAAGTCAATTTGCCTCCATCACCAAGAATCCTTCTGCTCACTTCAGACTCCATTAGGAACTCTTGGTCGTCTTCTTCAATGCAGTCTGCGATGGTTCCATTGCACCCAGAGCTTCTTTTCTTCATCTCTGCACAATCAGCTCTTTCAACATTTGTGTTGAGCACAATTAGTAGAAGAACAGCTATGGAGAAGAAAAGACGTACCCTCTTGGGTTCCATTCTTGTCTCTTACTTTTCTTTTTTTTTTTTTTTTGTTGGGAGTTCTGCTAAATTTATGGGCTCCGAAGGTCACTAATGAGCTGGACACAGAGGACGGGTAAATTATACTAATAGTCCCTGAGGTTTATTATTTATTGAATTTTAATATTTAAATTTTCAATTTCTTCAATTTAATCCTCAAAATTCACATATTGTACTAATGAGGTCCTCGCACTAACTTCCATCTAAATCATTGATGAAAAATAGCACTAATGACTTAATTACTTTAAATATCAGTCACATGCTTTGGCATGTGCTATATTTTCAGTCAATAAATGATAAATGCTAGGGACTAAATTGATAAAATTAAAAGCTCAAAGACTAAAATTCAATAAATGATAAATGTTAGGGACAAGTGACACAATTGATCATATAGAGCACACAGCTAAAGTTTTAAAGTATGGATAAGAAATGAACGGCAATTATTGGTCTTTTAAGATTACGAGGATGAGAAAAGAAAGACAGCTATTGGTCCCAAGATTAGGAGGATAATGAATGAAAGGTCATTGACCTCCAAGTGACTTTTCTGGTCATCTCGCCGACAACACCCTTGCGCCCACTAAGTCCGTCCGCCACTCCCCGGCGGCTGTTATTCTTCACATATCCCTCACACTACAATAAAAATATCAATAAATAAAATAAAAATATTCATAAAGAACCAATAAAAATGATAATATTTTTGTATCGAATAAAAATAATAAAAATAATTATAAACAATGTGATAAAAACGCACGTAACACTGATAAAAATATTTATAAAAATAATAAATTAACCATAAAAGTCATAATTTTTGATTGTTATAAAATAAATCATAAAAATTAGGTGTACGGTACTAAATTTTTTTTTGCAATGCCATAGTTAAGTCCAAAACTTAAAATCATGGACATGCCTATGGTACCGAAATTAAAATTTTGGTACCATACCAAAATTAAAATTTTGGTACCATACCAAAATTTATCACATTTGTGATAATTGTTACCATATTTGTGAGTAGTTTTGTCCCTGTTATGTGATACTCAAAAAAATAATAAAAATAGTTATTATAATAGTGGTAAAAAATATTTATAAATGTGGTAAATTATCCAAAAAAGTGACAAATTTTTTTATACTTAAAAGAGGTGGTAAAAATAATTACCACAAATGTAATAAAAATACCCACAAAAGTGATAAATTTTTTTATTATAAAATTATCCATTAAAGTTGTAAAAATATACTTTAAAGTAGAAATATTTGGAGGTATAAATTTTTTTTTGGCTCTACCATAATCAAGTCCTAAAACCATATTTGTGGAGAAAAGAATCCCGCTACGGTACCGATAATAAGTTTTTCGGTACCGATAATAAGTTTTTCGATTCAACTGAATTAATTTTTTTTTATGTATTAAAATTTGAGTTAATTAAAATTTTATTTTTTTTATGTATCAAAAATCAAACCGATTAAAATATAATGCGAGTTGATTAAAATTAGTTTTAAGCCTATAATATAATTTTAATCGGTTCAAATTTTAATACGTAAAGAAATATAATTTTTAATCGACTTAAATTTTAATATATAAAAAAAATATTTTAATTAGCTCAAATCAAATTTTAATCTTTCCGAATTTTAATACACACAAAAATTTAAAAAATAGGGGGGATTTTATTGAGGATATGTCTATCTATAGGGGGTTTGGATGAAATTTTTTCTAAAATATATTATGGGTAATTTAGTAAAATTATATTCTAATTAATACATTTAATCTGACAAGGAATGTCATTAAAAATTTAAAAACGAAAAGGAATGTCCTTAAAGATATAGTAAATTAGAAAAAGTGTGGGCGAAATTTTCTAAAAGTTATATATTCTTACAATAGGATAGGGAGATACTACAAGTCATGACTTATATTGTAAATTTTTTATTATTGTTATAAATTTTTCACTACTAATGTTAGTTATAAATTTTTCGGTATATAAAAAAGTAACCGGTGAAAGCAGTTGTCTTACTTTTTACTTTTACACGTGGCATGATCTGCTATCTTCTGTACGTAACAACTTTTTAATATGATACCAAAAAATTTAAAACACCGTATTGTAGGTTAGTCCAAAAAGTTAAAACTAAAAGGACGAGAGAAGTAACATCTTGTGTCAGCACAGGTATGCATGAGGGGAGAGTGATAAGAGGAGTGATGACGATGCCCACTAGTTGATATGTTTTTTGGACCATCGAATGAAGAAGAAGAAAATTACATATACAGTAGAAAAGGGTGCTAAAAACCTGACTCATTTGTCTTTGTCTCTGTCCTTGTCTTCTTGGTGGGGAATCATAGAATATTGGGATTGAGGGCAACCTGAGTTACACCTCCCCCATATGTGTATTGTCTCGACGGAACAACTTTACATATTGATGGTAATAATAACATTATTAGAATATGATGCCAATCAAGCATCATATCTTTCTCGATAGAGATAAAAATTTCAGTCTGTTTTACTCATCACCCAACCAGAAATTGTCATAAAAACAATTTATGGTATATATAAGTTATTATTTTTTTTTTTTAAAAAAAAAGACAGATAAATATATATCAAACATTCATTGAACATGCATAATTTATTTGTTAGTAATAGCGTTGAAAATTTTCTGATAGGACATATTGGCCAGTAAAGCCTTTGTAAAGAGATCAACTCTGTCATACACAACATGAAAAAAACCAACTCATTCAGATTGTAGTGTAGCATTACTGCTTTAAGTTGGATGTTCCTAAAAGAGCCTTGATTTGCTCAAAAGAAAACATTGTTTACTGTCACTACACGCACTTCTTGGTAGCGTTGTTTTCATGTTTGCCAAAAGAAAAAAAAATTGGGTACTGTACTAAAAGTTAAAATTTTAAAAGGGAAGGTAATTTTTTTTTTTAAAATATCGGTTAGGGATATTCAGACCAGATTATGTATACTTGGTTAAATTCTTTATTCGATTCGGTCAAAGACAGGTTATCCACGTTGAGATTAGAGTATTCATCGACTAATTTTTTCTTCAATCCAATCAAAAACAAGTCATCTATGTTAGAATTAGGATATTTATGAGAGATAAATCTCTTATTACCTAGTCCTAAGAATTGTCAAGATTCGAATTTAAAATGTTTGAATTTAAAAATAGAAGGTATAACTTTTTAAGATAATTCAATAATTCACGATGAATCATAAACTATTATATTCAGTGGTGAATTACTTTAATTAATTATAATTTTTATTTTATGAGTTATAACTTGATTTTTTAAAAGTAATAATTGTTATGATTAAACGCGTTTAGAATTGTAGTCTAATTGTCCTGTTTAGATTTTCTTTCCGAGGGCCAGAGAAAAGGGACTCCTTTTTCTGGGCGGTGTAGTCTAGGCTTCTTGCAAAGATGGTCAACTCTTTGCAATTGTTTTGCTAGAATCATTGTTCATCAACCACCTAGTCTAACGATTTTCTGAGATCTTTCTCACGAAAATTCTGAATTTTCAGTCTTGAAACTGAAAGAGATTATTTCCATTCAGAGTCATCGGGGACTAAATATACCCAGAATTTCATTCTTCTTGTCATTTTTTCAAACACTGGATGGGCAAAAAAACATCATTTGGACTATACTTCCCGATCCATAATGGGGGCTGGAAGTGAAAGGGTCTCTCTCTTGAATAAAGATGTAAGCTTCGTTATCAACCCTTCTTCTTCTTCTTTGATTGGTTCTGCCAGATTATTTGTCATAGCTTTATCTGGGTTTATGTTATTCTGAAATCTTTGATTCGCCAGTTTTTCAATTTCGGCATTCTTTCTATTACATCTACCTCTCATGTTTGTTGAATTTTTGACTGTTTTAAGTGAAACCATGTTCTGGTTGCATCTTTGCTTGCTTACTGGATGACCCAATTCGAGATTTGGGTTATGCTAAATTTCAGCGGTTTTTTCTCACATATGGCTGTATTTAAAGAGCTGGTTTTTGAAATACCTCGAATTATCTTGTGAATTGTGATTATAGGATCTTGAAAAACATTATTGTGCTGCATGCTGCATTAAAAGGCGTATTACGATTGAAAGTCTGCCGTTCTTGACTTTTTTGGTGAAAAAAGCTTGTTATCACTTGTTTCATAGTTCTTTAGAATCAGTTTACTGAAAGAAGTATCAGAGTCCTCTAAGACTTAAGAAGGTTAGTTGCAAGTTAATCATAGTTTAAGTAAAGAGTAAATCTCAAATTTGGTTTAATTTATTACACATTTATTTGGTTGATCGTCATTTCCCATGTAGATAAAACTGTACAATGTTGCAATACAGAAGACTATGAAAGGTCTTCTTTATTGTTCTCAGGGTGGGTGAACGTCAATTTGCATTTATATTTGTAGGCTCGGAGGCAGGCGAATGGGGCAAATGATGGTCCTGCAACAGACCTTGAGCATGGAGATGGCATACAGGTGATCACTAATCATGTTATTGAAGTCTGCAGTTTTGTTCTGCCTACTTTGGTTGCTTTTTTGTAAGACATTAACTTTGTTCGTACAATTCAGGCAGCAAACGTTGGATTTGGTAGAGTATTCTCACTGGTGAGTGGAAGTATAATTTTAAGAAATTCGAAGACAGAGCCATGTTGTGGCTTCATACTAACAATTGAGATTTCTCTTTTATGTGCAGGCAAAACCTGACGCAGGGAAGCTAATTATTGGCACTATAGCACTGCTGATAGCATCCACCACTAGCATTCTCATTGTATGCCGTTCTCTGTACTGGTTCATCTACTCTGTCCCACACCCCCTTGTCAACATAATCAATCTTTGTATGATACAAATAACATATAGTGGACACCCATTACCATCTTAACTGCCAGTGGCAGTGAGAAAAATGTGCTGCCTCATAAATGAATGCTGATATCTTAAAATTACCTTCTACTCTTTACCATTGGATGAACTACTAAATCTGTAAGTTCCTCCAGTCCACCAACAAGAAACTAATTGCACAGACTTCCTTTATTCTCTTCATGATGAGCAGTGAAAAACTTGGTACTATATCTATCCTACAAATCTACACGTGCAGAATAGCTTTTATGCAGAATCCTTTTCCTGTTCTCATGAAAAAATTGAATATGACAAAGAATGTATTATTAAGCCAAAGTCAGCATAGTTTGTAACCACTCGAAAAACACTACAAAAAGTTCACTAACCTGCCTCCTCACTAATATTTTCCTGCTTCCACTCCTAGGACCAGGAAACACTAGTTAAATATAATACAACATGGCAGTTTCTAATTCCATTCGTGAAGTGGTTAGATAAGATCCAGGGACCTTATCAGCCTCACTTTTTCTAATAATACCTGCAATGCTCAAACCATATAGTTTAAAGATCAGTTGTCCATTAGTTTCTTTGTGCTCTTAGAACCCTGCTTGTGATCTAAAAAGGTAAAGCACTTGATCAGAGACAGCTAAGATTTTTCTACTTATGTCCCTAAAGCAGCGTCATTTGGATGGACTCAAATGGTGCCATGAGACCTTTGGCTTTCCAGTATTAACTTCACCATGTTTGAGAGATATCCAGGCTTTGAGTTTCAAGCTCCTGAAGCTTCTCATTTTAGATATGCCTTACCTGTAGATCATAGAGAAGTCTGACGATGCATGATATTGAATTTGTGGACCCTTACGTTAACTAGCTTGTTGCAGAGAAACTCGATTCTTTTGTTTTTTGGTCCAATGAAAAAAAAAAAAAAGAGAGAGATGTGGACACGAATGCACTCTTTGTGGAGATGCATAATATAGTTAAGATAATGGCTAGCCCTTTTTTGGCTTGGACTTGATACTGGGTGGACCATTCATGTATGTTATCAAATGGGGATGAAGACATGGATTTTTACACAAGGGTAGGTATCTGTAGCAAACATGCAGTTGCATGCGTACATGAATGCTTTTATAATGAATCGTATAATCTGATAAACTGTAAGAAAGGTGTCCATAGGGGACCATGAAGCCACAGGTCCACAAGTGAATTTTTGGACATAAAAAGTAGCTGGGTAAATATTATGAAGGTTTGCTTTTAGCATGTTCCTGTGTTTGTTTTATTGCAGCCAAAATATGGTGGAACGATAATCGACATTGTATCAAAAGATATAAGGACCCCTGAACAGCAAAATGATGCTTTGGATGACGTCAAGAACACTATAATAGCTATGGTTTCCATAGTCGTTATTGGGTATGAAAATTCTGCCTCAGTCCTTTCTCTTGTTTAATATGCATGGTTCTGATGTGTGTATATTCATGAACTACATTTGCGTCCACTTTCTCTATGGTAAATGACTAAATAGCTATTGGGCATTGGATTGGATTTGAAAAGAGTAAATTGCAATTTTGTTGCTGTAAACTACTTTGCTTTCATCAAGTCTATTATAAAGTAAGTGCATTTGATTTATGAGGATGTTTTACAATTTAATCCTGTTCTTTTGTTTTGATTTGCTATATCAATTTATCTTCTTTCCAACGGGAGGGCAAATTCTCATCTAACATGCACTAATCTATTACCTTTCAACCTTCTTTGTGACAGTGATTAGATTGATTTTACATATGATACTATAAATCACATCTTGTTTGATCATTAATAGTTTCAAAGGTATCATATAACCTTAAGTTATTTTTAGTTCTCTGTGCACAGCACTTCGGTCATGGTTGTTTTCTTCGGCTAGTGAAAGGGTTGTTGCTCGTTTGAGGAAGGATTTATTCAGTCACCTTATCCAGCAAGTAAGCACCATGACTCCATTTCCCTACATATCTGTATCATCCTGTGACATCTATAATTGCTTAAGCTTCCTTTTTAATTGGTCTTGTGGTTCCCATGGATCCTTGTATTTACATTTTTCTATCTGCAATTAATATCTTTAGCATAATAAAAGCACTTGAAACAGCAGTTTACTTGACGTTGAAGACCACGGGATCTATCTCAAAATAGACTCTAGTAATTTGTATGCTTAGTCTTTATTTCCATTTGAAACAATGGCTGATAGATGATATTACTATGTTTAACAGGAGATCGCCTTCTTTGATGTTACTCGCACAGGAGAACTCCTGAGCAGGCTATCTGAAGATACCCAAATCATAAAAAATGCTGCAACTACCAATCTCTCAGAAGCACTACGAAATCTGACTACCGCACTTATTGGAGTTGGCTTCATGTTCACATCATCCTGGAAGTTAACATGTGAGTGATTAGTTTCAGTAGAAATATTTGGTGTACTACAGTCCTAGTACACTCATTGTATTTTCCTTCTCTTGCTTGTTCAGTGCTGTCCTTGGCTGTCGTTCCGGTCATTTCAGTTGGCATACGTAAATTTGGGAGATTTCTTCGTGAACTTTCTCATGAAACTCAAGCTGCAGCAGCAGCATCTGCCTCAATTGCTGAGGTATATGTTTATTGTGTAATGTATCTGCCTCAAGCTGCGGCTGCAGAATTTTTGTAATCAAAATTGATTTTCAGGAATCTTTTGGGGCCATTCGAACTGTGAGATCCTTCGCACAAGAAAGTTATGCAATTTCTAGTTACTCAGAAAAAGTTGATGTGACCCTGAAGCTTGGACTTCGACAAGCCGTGAGTTCCTTGACATGCTCTCTCTCTCTTCTTTTCCAATATTAAAAATTTGGTATGTATACATGTGACCATTTCTGAGCTTTGAAGCTTCAACTTGCCTGCCGCAGGGAATGGTCGGTTTATTTTTTGGAGGCTTAAATGCAGCATCTACTTTATCTGTCATCGTGGTGGTTGTTTATGGTGCTTGCTTGACAATAACAGGATCCATGACTGCAGGCGCCCTCACATCCTTCATTCTTTATAGCCTCACAGGTTCTCCCTTGATTTTCAGTCCTGTCAAATATACAGGGCAGATTTCATTAAGTTTTTCCCCTCCTGTTGTTGATGGGGAGAAATCTGAATTTATTTATATGGAAACTGACTAAATAGTTAAACTTTTCCTAAGTAAAACAATACAAAAATGGGAGTCAATTTAATGAAACTTAGAATCATGTCATGGGACTGTTCTCTGCTAAAAAATGTCTGTACCACCATGATTTGTTGTTCTATTTTATGTAGAAGATGGCACCCAAATAAGAATATTGAGATCAATGATGAAACATGAAAAAGAAACGAGAAATAGTTCTATTCTTGAAACTAAGAGGCAGTAACTGAGAGAGAAACTATATGTTTTTTTTTTTTTTTTTTGTGGAGTGGAGTAGTGTTATCAGAACCGGACCTGACCGGTCCAACTGTGATCCGGGGCCTTAGCCGGTCCGGCTCTCTAATCGGACCGCATAAGGAAGAGAATCAGCCGGTTTTTATAAAAAATCGTAAACCGGCGGTTTTTATAAAACCAGACGGTTTGAAGACAAATGACTTAAATCCCATTTATTTGGGCCATTTCTTTTGCCCTAATCGCAGAAGCACCGCTCCATTCCCAGGCGACCAACGAGCCCTCCACCCCCTCTCTCTCCCTAAACCCCTCCACTCCCAGGCGACCATCGATTTCTACTCAGGCGATCATCAACTTTTGCTCAGGCGACATTACTTGATTTCTGCTCAGGCGACCATCGATTTCTCCTCCTTTCTCCTTTCTCACGCACATAGTGCTCAAGCGACATTATGAAATGTTTAATTATTGGTTTTGTGCTCAGGCGACATCATATCTCCTTTCTCCTCCTTTTGTTTTAGGGTTTCTACTCCATTTTATTGTGGTGGTGTCTATTTGCGATAAATTAGAAATTTGCATGAGTGGGCTAATGTAGAGATATCTATTTTTTTTGCCCCTTCGGCCATTTGTTTTCCAGTAACGCTAATACAAATTATATTCATTTCCTTTTCAAATTTCTCATTGTATGTGTAGATTTAATCATTGATAATATATGCTAAACCCTGTGCTTGTTTGCCTGAAACTCGAAGTCGATTTTGATGATGGTGTATTGATTTGTATTGCTTATATTTTAAGTTGTATCCCATCTGCCAGTGTGTCTGATAAATTAGTGTGTCACTCTTCTCAGATACGCGCCTTACATTGTGCATTTTAGACTTTTTTTATAACTTCATAAATTTTATGGCAAATTGTATGCATTTTAGACATTTTTTAGCTAAATTATTATATTTTATAATTATTATATATATATTTTTATTTTTTATTATATGACCCGTTCGACCAGTTAACCCAACGGTTGAACCAGTGAACTATTGACCCGGTCCCCTTGCCGGTTTGATGACCGGTCCGGTTCTGATAACATTGGGGTGGAGGATGAAAACAGTTAAAGGAAAGGATTAGTAATTTAGGGAGATCATATAAAAATTACACCAAACTTCGAATGTAAAGATTTTAATTTTTGCTCTGTCAGGGAGGGGATATGGTCCCCCAGCCTCCGTCCGTGCTTGGTGGTGCCACCAATTGAGGACAAAAGATGGGAAATATTCCAAGATGGCTAGGTCAAGTGTGACATAAGACCTATGGATGTGGCCATGTGGATTGAGTCATCTGATTTAAATTGGTGATGATGTGAGGACAAGATTGAGGATTAAAAACTATTTAGGAACGAAGAATAAGGATGTTATCACAAAGCATACGGCTCTAGATAGGGCTAAATGATTAAAAATGGCTTGTGTAACCAACCTTAATTGATTGAGGTTCAAGGCTTTGCCTAGTCAAGTTGAACTGCTTTGCTTGTGAAGGTTTTATTGTACTGATCAATGTTTCTATTTATGGTTTAAACTTTAAACCAGTCTTGAAATCTTTAGCTAAGATTCACATATCTAATAGGTCCTAATACTGTAGTACTTTTCCAAGCTAACAAAGTTTAATGCCTTCAATGCACCAAACATTTACCTGCAGTTGGATCTTCAGTATCCTCACTATCTGGATTATATACAACTGCAATGAAAGCCGCAGGAGCAAGTAGGAGAGTTTTTCAGCTTTTAGATCGCGTCTCCAGCATGCCAACTTCAGGAGATAAATGCCCTATTGGGTTATTCTCTCTCTTCTCCCTCCCCTTCTCTGAGGCACACAGACACACACATGCATGTTGGTTTCATTCCTTTGCGTAGTTTGGAAAGTATATTTATTTATTAGTTGTGTTGTGGCTTTATTTGCAGCAATCCCGATGGGGATGTCGAATTAGATGATGTTTGGTTTTCTTACCCTTCTCGCCCGAGTCATATGGTGCTCAAGGTATTAATTTTGCTTGGTTAAAATCATCTGCAACATATGGACATTGTGAGCTGCCAAGGATGTCTATAGTTTCCTTTTCCTTACTCCACTATGTTTTTGTTTAAGTAGCAGAGTACAGCAAATATAAAGATTTTAGGTTTTAGTGTTTGCTAGTAGCAAATTTGCCTATAATAGCGAAAGAACAAAAACAGACTATCCTTGGCAGTTTGGTAAAATTTAGAATGGTTGTAAAAATCCAATTCTGTTTCTCTAAAACTGTTTTTTTTTATTGTTCTATAAATGAAGTTAATATCAACATTATACGCGAGCCAAACTTTTTGGAATCTCTCTTAAGTGTATTTGTCTGAATTGCAGGGGATATCACTAAAACTGAGACCTGGTTCAAAAGTTGCCCTTGTTGGTCCAAGTGGTGGTGGAAAAGTATTATTTTTACCTCTATTTTTTCCCAATTGGGGCATCTTCTATCTTCGGATTCATAATGTGGGCTTCTAAATGAACTGGATCTTTTACTACGTGAAGTCATTTACCTTTTTGCTGCAGACCACAATAGCTAACCTGATCGAAAGGTTTTATGACCCGCTCAAGGGAAAGATTTTGTTGAATGGGGTCTCCCTAGTAGAAATATCTCATGACTACTTACACAGAAAGGTACTCTTTTACAATATTTTTTGTCTACAATATTACTATATCTTGGTCCTAGAAAGTTATACCACTTAAAATAAAAGAACTGAAAGTCACTCTTATCGTGAAGACTGTGAAGCATGGTTTGACCTATTTTTCTTTTGCACATGTTTTATCATATGCCAAGTTTACTAGTAAACGAAACATGGATGACTCGTTAAATTACGATGTTCTGATTTGTTTAGAAACCCACACCACTGTAGCGTTCACATTGGTTATCATATACCATTTTTGTGTTTTTAGTGCATCATGCATTGATCTTACTATGTATAAGTGTTTACATAACCCCATTTCCATCTTCGAATCATAGGTAAGTATAGTGAGCCAGGAACCTGTTCTTTTCAACTGTTCCATCGAAGAGAACATTGCTTACGGGATTAATGGCAAAGCCAGCAGTGCTGAGATTGAAAATGTGGCTGTAAGTTTGCTGCTTCTATTTCTTTTCATTCGCTTTGTAATTCTTCTTCCCCTGTTGCACTTTCATGTGTTTATTTTAATCACAAATGGTTGCTCTACTCAGCTGTTCATTCTGCACCTATGGATACTAATTGATTTATTATACTGCAGAAAATGGCTAATGCCCATGATTTTGTAGACACATTTCCAGAAAAGTATCAAACTATTGTAGGAGAACGTGGATTAAGGTTGTCAGGAGGCCAGAAACAAAGAATAGCAATTGCAAGAGCACTGTTGATGAATCCAAGAGTTCTGCTGCTGGATGAAGCCACGAGTGCTCTGGATGCCGAGAGTGAATATCTAGTACAGGTGAGATTAAAATAATCCGTTGTTGGTGCACTCACACTCACACTCGCACTCACACATCCATACCAAATGTCTAATCCTTGGTATACATATCCAATGTCTCAATTTCTCAAGTCTAAAGCATGTTTTTTCTTAGTGGACATTCGAATTTGCGTTGTTTATAATGCTGGTGTTATTAGTAGGCCCATCCAACTAAATGGATGTCCGTATCATCCTTGCTTTCAAATGATCTTCTCCCTCTTGAATTTTCTCTTACTCGATCACATGCCATTTCTCCTTTTGTTCTGCAAATCAAGGGAACCTACATTTAAAACCTCGTACTTTACTTTGACTTGTTGTAAATTTGTGACATAATAACAATATTATGCAGTGTGTAAACCTATCATTTTCTCTCTCTCTACAACTTCCTTAGTTACCTAGGCAAACATTTTGTCATTTTCCCTTAACTTCATTTACAGTTTACATTTCAATTCAGTACTGCAACATTCTTATTGGATTTTTGTATCTTTTAAGGTACAACATTTAGCCTTTTTCATCCACATTTTCGGCATTTTATTATATTCTTGACAAGATACGTCTAACGACTTATATATTGTATAGGATGCGATGGATTCTCTAATGAGGGGCAGGACTGTTCTTGTTATAGCACACAGGCTTTCCACGGTCAAAAGTGCAGACACAGTCGCCGTTGTATCTGATGGTCAGATAGCTGAAAGTGGCACCCATGACGAGCTTCTCGACAGAGACGGTATTTACACTGCACTTGTGAGGAGGCAGTTGCAAGGAACCAAAAATGAAACCTAGTTTGACAAGTTCAGAGGTTGAAGCACAATTCACTGAGGAGCAGATTGAATAAATACATTGCTCGGTTTATATATGTCTCCTTATGTAACGAGTAATTTTATAATCCTTGGAAAAGAACTTCTTGATAATACAAATATCGAATCTGTTAACCTGCTTAAGGTCACTTCAACTGTTCTCAGAACTTGTAGTCAATATAAGCGGACAATACACCAAACATAGCTCCTCGCGCACACACACACACACACACACACACACAAAGTGGTTAGTCGTGCAACTATCACTAGCCGAGCTAGAGCTAGAGCTAGAGTTACTGCATTGCAGATTAGTCGACCTCTTTGACTACTATCAATTTGCTTGGCCAGTTGTCTTACAGTTGTTTTGGGGGGCCTGTAGAACCAACTGCCTCACCTCTCCTTGGAATAATGTCTCTCTCTCTCCATGGCTCGCTGTTTCACGGGATAAACAAAATGGCCCAGATTACAGCTAATATGTTCATTAAAGACACTGGGT